TACTAACCAGTAATCCATAAATACTGTTTGCAATTTCATTACTCTTCAGAAAGACCAAAAAGAAGCATGAGGTTTTTCTTAAGGATACTTTTTTCCTTTTAGTTTCTCTCTCTTCTTTCACACATCTCCCTGTAGCCTCAGGGTTTTCATTTGCTATTGTCTTAGGAGCTCTGGTAGCATAGTGGTAAAGCACTTGACTGCTAACCAGAAGGCTGGCGGTTCAAACCCACCAGCCACTCCTCAGAAGGAAGGTTGGGCAATCCTACTTCCGCAGTGATACTGCCTCGGAAACCCAAGGAGGGGGTCGCATGAGTCAGGGCCAACTCGACGGCACATGACAACAACAACAACATATTCCCTACAACTCCTCATTTGAAAATCACTCTAGATACCAATATCAGAACAAGTCCAACAGAAAGAACCAGTGAGTCGGTTTTACAAAGCACATAGAGATTGCTCATTCATCCATTCATTCAACAAACACTAATTGACCATCTACTGTGCTGGGCACTAGGAATACAGTTGAGAGACAAAGGCCATGATTTAAATAAAACAATCCGCAGTGGTGGAATGTGCTGAGAGTTATGAATGAATAAAGGCTAATTCAGCTGAGAGGTCCCAGAAGACTTTTGGAAAGAAAAGACACTTAAACTGAGTTTCTAAAAGTATATGTAGGATCTAGCCAAGTGGAGAAGATGGAAGAATGCTCCAAGGGAAGGGATCATATGAAGGTGAGAGAACACAGCAGATGGTAGCATGGGAGAAATATAAGCAGCTCAGAATGACTAGATCTCTGGGTACACGTAGGAGAAAGAGTTGTTGTTGTTGCTATTAGGTGCTGTTGAGTCATCTACGACTCATAGTGACCCTATGTACAACAGAACGAAACACTGCCCAGTCCTGTGCCAGCCTCACAATCCCTGCTACACCTCAGCCCATCATTGCAGCCACTGTGTCAATCCATCTCTTTGAGGGCCTTCCCCTCTTTCACTGACCTTCCACTTTACCAAGCATGATATCCTTCTCCAGAGAATGGTCCCTTCTGACAACATGACCAAAGTAGGTGAGACGAAGTCTGGCCATTCTCGCTTTCAAGGAACATTCTGGCTGCACTTCTTCCAGGACAGATAAGTTAGTTCTTTTAGCAGTCCATTCTACTTTCAGTATTCTTCGCCAACACCACAACTCAAAAGTATCAAATTTCTTCGGTCTTCCTTATAGGAGGCAGAGTAGTCGGGAGAAAACAAAACAGTTGGTAAGGTAGGCAGGAGCCAGACCATAAGGGTCAGCAGCTGCAATTAAAGAATTTATCTCAAAGGCTGTGGGATGCTGCTTACATAGGGACTGACATAACCAGATTCTTATTTTAGAGAAATGACTGTCCAAGCTGAGAGTCAGTGACCAAGAACGATATTTTCCAGAGATATAAGACCACCACATCAATTGAATTTGTTGACCACTTTGTATGTAGCTCCACATTCAGTCTCTTTTTCTAATTCTCTTCTTCCACAAAGTCTTCCACCACGTGTATTTTCATTAATCCTATAAAGTATCTTGATTGGAGGGTTTCTCATGTAGTTGCTATCTTGTTGATACTCAGCTCAAATTTAAATTCCATCACCTAGCTTGCCTTACATTTTAGGCTTGGTAAATGGCCATGTAACTTTGAACCTCTCCATAAAATTTGTGAACTTTTGACACTGGTGTTCCCAAAGCTAAAGCCAGGCCCTTGAGACATATCTAGCCTTGGTCTAAGAAGATATAAGTCAAGGAAAAGGATTGTTATTCCAAATTAGAAGAAAACTATTGCCCTCACAGGTACTAGGAATTTCCATATTTAAACTCAGACTGACTCATATATTCTAGATCTGGCCACTTTGCTCCTTTAATAGAGCTTTTTGGAGTATACCTTTAGCCTGGAGACTTTCTTAGGTCTTGAGCAACTATTTGATACTCCTATCTTATCCTCCTCCTCATCTAAGAAAATTTGAAACAAAGATGTGGAGCATAAACAAGGTCTCAAGTCTTGCCCCAAGAAACTGATAATGGCAATACCAAGGTTGTCTTGGGTCTTAGACTCTTGTATTAAAAAAATAGACTTGAGATTTATTATAGCACAACAAACATACTATAGGTCATAGGCATTTTACGTCACATCCTATAAAATACGGTATTTTTAGATACCATTCTTAAGGAAAGGTCAGCAGGACTGTGTAAAGAGACCAGAATTATCCCTCCTTTTATGGGTAAGTTTATACTGGGAAGATTGTTTTTTTTAATAATCTGGAATCCACATTTGCATTTTCCATTTTTGACCAAAATCAGGAAGGTATAAGTCTGACTTTTAGGTCTCCTTCCACTGGTTTCTGCTGGGGACCAGCAAGCCCACGTGCAAAGCTGTAAGAAGGCAAAGGTACTTTCCAAGATTTGTTTGGCAATGGAAGCACCCCCTCCCCAGTGATGAGCCGTAACTGCAGGTTATGAGGGAAGCCCCATGACAAAGTATGCTCAAGCCTCAGAGACAGTATGTGTGGGAAAGAGCCTGAACATATGTGAAGCAGCTTCTGCCAGCACGTCCCACAGCACTGCCCTCAGAGCCACCAAATGTATGGCCACTTTGGATGGAGCCTGTGGGCTTTCCCAAACCCTGAAATGCGTCTGAGAAGGAGCCAGCTGGCCTGTCTTGCATGATAAGGGGACTCTTTGGTGTTGTCTCTGTTCTGACACCACCTGATGGGGCCCACCACAGGTTCCAAGAGAAATGAGAGTTCTGAAACTCCAGGAACAGCTATGACTGTCTCATTTTTACTTAAGGCAACAAACAAGAACAATTTGGAAATTCAACACCATCAACACATAATTAAATAGGAAGAAGGAAATTTTAAGGCATCATATCCCATGCAAGAATCAGATGCCCTTTCTTGCTTTTCAAGTTTTGAGTGTTTGGTGAAGGATTCCATGATTTGAAGAAAGCAGAAGAGGTTTGGGATGAGACCCCATCTAGGAAGGGTCATCTCTAAAACTGCTTGATTATCTGGTGGTAATGCTATCTGCTTGCTAAAAGCTTGCGGTTAGATTAATGCCAGCGTTTGAAAGTCTGTTGAGGCCTGATGGTGGGCAGCCAGGGAAGGAATGTGTTTTCTGTTTATCTCTTTAGTGGCAGAAATGTTCATCATGGAAAGACTCTGTGCTCCCAGTTCCAGACGTGCCTGGAAGCTGTGCAGTCTGTAGTCTGTGAATATGCACACCAGGTCCCGGATGATGAAAAAGAAGTGGGCCTTGTGTTCACAGCCAGTTGCTTGGGTTGGTCGATGGGTCAGTTTATTTGGCTTGATAACAGGGGTTATCACATTGTTCTGAGAGGAAGTTTTCCCACCCCCATTGCTATATCTCCCAGGAATGCAGTTGGAGTTGTGTCTCCTCCCTGACGGCTTGAACCTCAGTAAATTAGCAGGGTCTTGACCCAAGAGATGAAGAAGTCCTAAGCGATTTTTAGTCTCCTATCTAAAAATGTGTTTACATTTCTTGAACTCTGGCTGACTGATTCATTCCCCTGGTGTTGCAAGAACTTTCCTTATGCGTTAGAATTTATAAGTTTCATTTCTAAGAGACCCATGATTCCTTCCAAACCACAGTGAAGTGAACCTCATCACAACACAATTCTGCTGGACTGGATTTGTCCAAAGGGTGGATCATGGCCAAGCAGCTGTGATGTGGCAAGCTCAAGTGAGGCTAACAGAAGACAGTGTGATGTGGAGGGAAAAGTACAAGATGCCAAGTCAGAGCTGGGTTCTGGTCCTGGTCTTGTACTGTTTCAAGAAGTGGCCTTGAGCCAGTCACATGAAGCCACTCTTGAGGCCTCAGTTTCCCCAGCTGTCCTAAATAAGACATGTTTCCAACCTGTGTGTCAGCCATTTTCAAACAAGACAAAAGAAGACAGCTGGGAAACAGAAGGAAAAGGAAGGTAAGCCGATGAGGAATGAGTAAAGGCTTCAGGTCAAAGGACAAAGATGCAGAGTCACATGGCCACAGGTTCTTAAGAGAACTGCTCATGAGTATCAGGTACAGAAAGAACTCTGTGTTGGACCCTGGTCACACACAAGAGACCAAAATCCCTGTCAGTGGAGCCATGTTGAAAATAGAGCCAGTTCCAAGATATGCTTAGCTAAACATGTTCATCCACTAAACATTCCTTTATAAATATTAAATTTACTCTCTGGGGGAAGGGGGTGTGAGAAAAAAAGGAAAAGGAAAATAAACCCTGTCCTTTTGCAACATGAAGTTTTAGGGTTAGGCAGTCTGGGACTCAAATCTTCACTCAAAACCTCACTACAACCTTGGTTAAGTTACTTTACCTTTCACGCCTCAGCTTCTAAGCCTGAAGAGTGCAATGATAACGCCAACCAGACAGGAGAGTCATGCGAATGATATACCAACAACATGTCCATGTTGCTTCATGGTGGGGTGCCATGATTTCAGTCAGACGTACCCCACCCCACACCCCCTCACCTCCCTCCTCCCCACAGCCCCACCTTGGCTTTTGCGTTTGCTTGCTTCATGTTTGCCCTTCTGCTTTCCAAGGAAAAAGGGAAGCTTCTGATCTTTACATTTGGAAGGTCACAGAGACGTTTTCCTACTTCAGTGATATGCAATCATACAAAATTTATATTTCACAGCATCAGCAGATTTTTTTCATTAATATTTCCTTTTTAATTTCATCTTTATCTGAATTTCAGTGGCACAAAGAAGTCTATTTTGTTCTTTTAAAGAGCTACCAAAATAAAAATATATAAATTTGAATATTTAACATGGTGTTTAGACTGTGCCTAGGGAGTTTATGGGTGTTATTTGGTGAGTAAATACGAATCACCTAGGTGTATGTGTGTTTATAACCCTACACACATATAAACTAGGTGTGTGTGTGTCTGGTATATTTATAAAAATTCATGAGATCTGGATCTGACAACCCTGATCCTTTTTCTCTCTGATTTTCACCACAGCAAACACTGAATCCAGAACCAATCTTCACATGAATCTTTACGGAACCTCGTCAGCTAAGCAGGTACAGTGTTGACTCTGAGGGAGTATGAGACTGGGAGTCAGGACCGTCAGGACCATAGGGGTTTTGCCCCAGCTTGCTGTGTGACCCTGGGTGATACTCTTTACCTCTCTGGGCCTCATCTGCCTAATCTGTAAGATGAGACAGGTAGACTATTCAATCACACACAGACACAGACACACAAACACACACCCACAAACTCACTTTCCAGTCAATTCCAACTCATGGAGAACCATGTGTTATAAAGTAGAACGGCTCTGTAGGGTTCTTTGGCTTTAATCTGTACAGAAGCAGATCTCCAGGCCTTTCATTCACAGCACAGCTGGGTAACATTTAGGTTAGAAGCTGAGCACAAACCATTTGTGCCACCCAGGGACCTATATAATCCCAGAAGTTCCTTAACTCTTGGACCTGGACTGTCTTTTTTTTTTTTTTTTTTTGGTACCTGGACTGTCTGAACTCTTAACTTGGACTGTTCTGTCTGACTCTATATGTGCATGAATAAACTGGATAGGCCGTTCTCTGAATTCTGCCAAGTCAGAAAGTGAACAAGGAAATAACGAAAGTCATCATCCTTCACAGCTGGAGGCATGAAGACTTTATGCCACTGGGCCCACTTTCCCACTCCAATTTTCATTCCTAATGAGGGGAAGAAAACTTAGCAATCCAAAAAAGAAAAAGAAACCATGTAGAAAGGCGAAAAATGCTTTATCTGGATGAGTTAGGAATACCTGTCAGTGATTCAAGGGCATTTGTTCTCAAATATTTATTTATAAGTTTTTTCCTTCATTGGAAGCTTTGATGGGACTGTCTTCCCATTCTCTCTAGAGAGACAACACAGGGGATTCCTAGAGCTGAGAAACCCAGGGTCTGAGAGAACATGCGGTAGAAGCAGTGCACACAGCTCCAGGGGCTCTCCCTGCTGTAAGACAGCCTCCCAGCCCACTGATCTCCAATCTCCTGTATCTCCAGCTTCCTGCTCCAGCCTGGCTTTCTCCTCTTGCCTCACATTCATTAAAAAATAAAAATGGTTTTGTTTTCATCTGTGTGCCTGAACTGGGTTCTGAGGAAGAGACTAAACTCTCACTATTAGGACCAATGGTCTGGGTCCCACAGCCACTGAGGTACAACACAGCCAAACCACCCTTCCCTGCTACTGAGGAACCATAGAACTAACATTTGGGATTTTTTTTTTTTTTTTTTTTTAATGCCTACTTTGATCCATTGCTGTCAAACCAATTCCATCTCATGTTGTTGTTGTTGTTGTTATGTGCCGTCGAGTCAGCCCTGACTCATAGCGACCCCTCCTTGGGTTTCCGAGGCAGTATCACTACGGA